CATGAAATCATGAACCTTCGTTTTACTTACATCCGGGAGTTATTGGAGGAGATTTGGCATTGCGTTGGAGATTGGGATACATATCTATAGATGGAAAAAGCTTGGTAGAGCATTGTTTCACTGAATACAACTCTTATCTCCAGACAGAAAATTCTATATTTATTTCATTGTGAAGTGTATGCTCATTAGATCAAAGCTGATTTTAAAAAATGTAAAATTGAGTACTTCTTTGCCACCCACTGTGAGATTCCAACCAGGCTAACGTGCAAGATTTCTATTTGGAGTCTAGCACTAAAAACGGTAGAACCCTCGAAAACCTCTCGCGCGCTCACATCGCTTGTATAATAGCGTCTCGAGAGCCTGCCTACAGGCCGACGTTTTCCATAACCCTTGTAAACATTCTGCAACCACCGTAATAACTCGATTTAGGGCCTTCCTTCCAATAAGCGCTCCCTCTCCAATAAGCGCCCTCCTCGAATTTGTTTTTACTGATTAAGCGCCCTTATTCTGCCGGTATGCGCCTATATTGAGTAAGCACCCTCATTCCAACGAGAAGCGCTCCTATAATCAGTTTCATTAAAAGCACTATTGGAGTACATCGACATTGAGGTCAACCATGGTCCATCCGGCTTCCTTTAATTGCTCACTTAAGCCTCGCGACAAAAAAAAAGTGGTCTTCTTCTCAGTCTGTCAACTACTATGTCTACGTGAGTGCACAGATCCTTCATACGAAAGATCCTGTCTTAAAAAGTTTGGACGATTGCTTGGCCAGCTAGTCGTTCTAACAAGGAAGGATGCAGTGAAAACAAGTCTGCTTTCCAGCCTTTTCGATCCTCAGCCAAATGAACTTCCAAATTTTGTTTCACATTCTGCTGTTTCTCAATAAATAAATAAATAAATAATGATAAGCGCCCTCCCTTGAGGTACCATAAGTAAATAAGTGAGAGATCCAGGAGAAACGGAGGGGAATCAGTCGTCGCTAACAGAGTACAAAGAGGGATCATCGAAAATGGACTACCAACGAATCGGGTTCATTTCAGGTGAATTTCATCGTGACACGAACAAAATCCTCCGAACCTCCCTCCCCAGGCGTAAAATAATGACCAGAACCTCTGACGGTTTCATGCACGAATAGTCTTGTTTTTGTAGGCCATTATTTTCACAAATAAAAAGTTAGGAAAATATTTCAAACTATGGTTAGAAGTTAATCGTTTTTGTTGCCACTAAGATCGATATGTTTCTATTTTTCTATTATATTTATTATTATATTATTTATAAGTCTGGAGGAAAATGAAGCCAAAATAGAGGTTCTCGTTTCTTATAGATGTCAATGTTAATCTATCTAGAAAAATCTATCCCCGAGTGGTTTCATGGTATCTTTAATCATTCATGAAAATTGTAATTGGCAAGGTTTCTTTCTGGTATCTTTAATCATTCATGAAAATTGTAATTGGCAAGGTTTCTTTCTGGAACATAAACTAGAAATTCTTTATAAGCTCTTAGGATTAAACGGAAAATTTACCCTTCAAAACTTGTTTCTTAATCTGAAAGTGCTGAGTTTCATCAGCAAATTCGATACATCTTTTGAATGATCATTTTGTTGAAAATATTCAGCTGAAATGTGTTTTGCATGTATTTATTTTACTCTATCAGGTTTTTGGATTATTTTTGTCTTGGGGTTTGAGCTAATTAGCGATGTAAAAACCAATTTAAATTAAGATTCCTCTTCAGGTCATCGAACATTCTCGATTCATTGATCTTATTAAAATATTGTAAACTTTGGGTTTCCTGTATCAATGAGCTTTTAGGAAAATTGGGCTTTTAAAAACAACATTTGCTCGGAATAAACAGATGACTTGCTAGCCTCTAAATATAGTGCCAAAATAATAATAATAATAATAATAATAATAATAAAAAACACAATTGCGACGTACGGCTTATAAAACATCATTGATTGAAAAATCGACCGAACGCTTCCTTGCGAAAACATTGGATTGCAGTGTTTAATTTTAATGACTCAACGTGGTAACGACTAATGTCGTTGAGATTCCCATTCTTGAAAGATTCGACGACATTTTTTTCGCATTAGACCACTTAGAAGTGTAAAAAGTTTTAAAACGCATGTGTGAAGCCATCGTTTTCCTAATTAAAGGTTTCAAATCTTATTTTTACTTTGTTTTTGCCTTTGCTTATTAAAAGGCTCATAATGACATCCAAACATCCTATCACTTGGCGCACTTACGTTCTCAAATCTTGTCGTAAAATAAGTCGCTAACTGCCTAATAAGCTTATTAGTAACTGAATATGCAGTTGAATATCTTTTTTTTCCAACTTCTTAATGTATTTTAAGCGAGTCCTTCTTGCTTTTCAAACACAGATTATTCAGGATTATATGGACGAAAGCACTCCTTAGTAAAATTTAGTTGTATTCAATCGTTTCGTGGTCGATTTTAAAATTTTAAACATATTCTTTGTTTTGAAACTTTAATTTACATTTCCAGATAATTTACATACATTTGAACACACTCCATTTAAAAAAAAAAGATTTTACCTCTCCTGGCCCGATCCTTTTGACATTGGATAAACGTCACAATATAACATAATACGATATAACACTAGAAAAAAAAATGGTTGACATTTCGACATCACTAACAAATTTTGGCGGATGAGAACTGATAATAAGATGCTTACGTTTTCATCCATTTTCCTTAATTTGTTTCAGATCGCTAAATCAATTTAGAGAATCCGTCTAGAAATCACCGCGACTAAGATAAAATCTGTACCCTTATTTTCACTTGCATGTGAATTGAAAATTTTTTTGATATACAGCACAGATGCGATGGTTACAGAACTGTAGGTTTAGAAAATTTTATTCATAACTCCACTCAATTTATACAAATAGAAGTATACTCAGTCAAAGGTCTTTACCCTTTTTTATTTCTTTCTTTTCTCTTTCTTTTTTTAACTTTACAAGATCTGAACTTTCCTTTTAGTTCAGTTTTTCGATGAGGGAGCTTGAGCGAATGGCAAAAATAGAACAAACGTACCGGTTGGGTTTTGACACCCGACTGTCACCTTTGACAGTATCAGTGATGAACACGACATGAACCTCAATTGCAAGGTGTATATTTTGCACTAAGTCTGCGGAAAGATTTCACCTAATTTGTCACGATTTATTTTTTCAACGTAAGTGATTTTGTTGAGTTGTTTATCACTTTATCAAGAACTGTTTTATTTTCACAAGCTGTATGATAATAAGTTGTTAGCTGGTCAGACGGTGCCTGCTGTCCTGTCACTCAAATCCCTGTTACTGAGACTAAATGGACTAAAAGACCCAGAATTCCCATTGCGTTTGTTTTTGGGTTTTTTTAGTTACATCAGTTCCTCTGAAATACGACGTTTCAAGTCGTTTGTACCATCAGTGTTATTGTTTTTGACATAAAACGATTCATTCTACACACACACACAAAAAAAAATTCTCGGCATAAAGCAACTGATCCGAATAAATGCTTTCGAAAATGAATTTTTACTGAAATTTCATAAAATCACACAGCAAATATATTTTATGATTAATAGTTTCTTAGGGCAAAAACTTAGGCGATGAAACGTCTAATTGCACCATGTATTCAACTGAACAACCTTTCACCGCAGTTGTTAAATAATTCATGTCGCTGAGAGCTTTAAACAATATTTTAGGTGCTCGGCCAATCAAATTCTTTGTTGTGGTATACTTCGCGCACGTGGGCTAAAGGTGTGCGAGTATTGTTTTCCTTGGAGCCGGTTTTCTACAGCTTTTTTCTATCTTCCTGTGTGCGAGATATTTTTGCTGGTGCCGGAAGTCTGATGATCAAAATCAAACACTGACTGTCGAAAGTTCCTGGTTAGTGCAGGTAAGGAAGACAACAAACCAGTATTTATCCGTAAGATTCGAATTTTCGTTGACCGTGAAGTCTGCAGAAGGACATTTTCATTTCTAAGCGTCAATAAAACAGTTAGACTAAATTTAAAATTGATTTTTGTTGGCGTGAAAACATCTAGATTTTGCTTGTTGTTGTAAGAGGAAAATTTATTTTGTTATTTTTTTCCCTTTTTCCTCGCAGGTTATTCTGTTCTCTACTGAGAAAAATGTTTTTTTTTCTTTTTTATTACTTTTCGTGACGAAAATGTATACATGTTTATTAGAAATCGACATGAAATTGATTCTGATAAATTTAGACCTATTGTGTTCGCTGTCTGCTTGCTTTGTAAATTTAAGCTCAAGCCCAGGTGAATTGAGCGATAACGGCTAATTAGTTTCAAAGTGGTTAGAAGGGAATATTCGCTTTCGAAAAATGGCAGTCCAAGGGCGCCATTCTAGAAGGCCGATGTGCTTTGTATTGATTGGCAGTGAAATAACTCAGACTTAGATCCAGTCGGATGCCTAAATACAATAGTATTTTGGCTGGCACTGCTCCAAGGCAAGGCTCCCTAGAGTATTTTAAACAACGCATCACACCCCTAAGAGTGTTGTTTTGTCACCATGGCGTGGAGAATAATTTAATTTTTACCCGCAAATACGTGCAAAATATTACTGGGACACCGCAGAAGAAACAAAATTGATCTGTTTCTGTGCGTTTTCTTTTGTTTTGTTATGGGGTTAAGCGCTCGTTTGGCGAGATTCGAAAGTGTATTGTCGTCAAAAGTTCAAAGCAGTTTTCACAGCGTCCTTCCTGTTTTTGCTTGAATTTTGTTTTTACTGCTGTCGATTAAGTGATTCTGAGAATCTCTAAGTGCTACATAATGGAAGGGATGCTGTGATCGAAAAACGATAAAAATTTAAGGCGAAAACGAAAAAAACACATTTCTCTTCACGAGTGAAAATAAAAAATATATTCAGGTCGCTGACCTACGAAGGTGCAGTATGACATTCCGTGTCAAGCGTGACAAGATAATGGGCCTGTCTGATTGGTCAGTTTTGTTGCTGATTGGTCGGACAGTGCGGCTCAGATCCCGCCCGACCCTTTTGAAGCTCGCATGTTTTTCAGTCGTCCGGTTTTAACTGCTGTAAAATCTTCAAGTTTGAGGCGAAAAACGGATCAATTACTGCGAACGGGACTGTATCGAGTAGGACGAGTTGTTGGAATCAACAGATCGAAGTTTGACGAGGTTTGCACTGCGTTTTATAGTTTTTTATTATCTTCGTCTTGAACCAATTGGTATTTCAAGCATCTATGAAAGTGTATGGCGTGAATTGTAAAATCCAGAAGACCTCAGGAAATTCTTACTTTCTGTCGGAAGTCTTTTGATGAATGATTCTATAAAGTCATTTAAACATGTTGAACATTTTATGAACGCATCTCGTTCTGTCTGAAAGCCAAAACTAGTAATTTTACATGAGTGATCGAAGAATATGTAATGTTATGATTAACAAACATAGCTGCGCGATTTGAATTTCTAATTTTGTCACATTCGGTGAAAGATTTGTATATTGCTTATCACCCAAGCAAAACCAACGCTACGTGCATAAAAAACTGTTTCGTGGTCGTAGCATCTCATCGGAATTGGTATTGTATGATTCCTCTTAAACGATTTACATTTCAAACGCCAAGCACTCGTCGCTCAATTTAATGTTAGTCGCTTGGCTTAAAATTATGTTTTTGTGATTTTTAAAGATTATACCGCTTGCGAAAGTTTAACCTCTGAGTGAAATGGCTGCAATGCTTTTCGGTTGACAGGTAAGATCAGATGTTTGTCCATTTTATTTAGTATTTTAAGTTGCCTTTTGTAACTTGAGCGTGGCCAAAATGGCTGAAAAGGGTTTTAAAAAGTAATTTCTAACGTGAATGCAAGCGAGAATTTCGTGATTTAGTTAAAAGCATTTTATACAGCGCAGTAATTTGTGGCTATTCACAGAATGAACTACTTTTTTTAAATTTGCCGACAAGTGATGAATTTGATAAGTGATCAAGTTATTTGAAATGTGTTGATATTTTGTTTAGATGTAAACTTGGGATAGTTTGATACATTTGTTGAGTTCACAGGGAACCAAATTTACGAGATTTTCGGATCGTCTGGTTTGAGAAACTTAAAGTAAAAGTTATCCATTTTTATTTTGGATTTTGCTACTCCCTCACAAAGCCCTCTTCTCTCAGGCGGAAATCTGCATAACATGTTGTTTTCTAAACTCCAGGATCTTTCGGGCAAGAACTTACGTAAGCAGACCTTTCGATAAATGCAAATCCTTTTAAAACTCTTCATCCACGTCACAGGGTCCCATTAATGCTTTGCTTGCTATAAAACGTGTTTGGTATGTTCAAAATACTACTTCAATCGATTAATTAAAGGATTTAATATTTGTAAGGTGATATTTGCCTCTCGATTCTGACGACGACCGCCCATTCGTTGCAGGAATTTTTACGGTGTTCGTTTGGAATATTTAAAGCCACTTTTGCCTAATTTTAGTTTATCTTGCTAATTTGAATTGAGCATACCTTGTCGAAGATAATCTATTTAAGTCACGAGGAATGATCTCGATTTTTTTATATTTCTGACGGTTCTATATTTGCCGGTTACGCTTTGAAAACAAGGAAGAAAATTTAAGAGGAATTTATTAGCTTTTGAGTTTTCATGAAGCGTTTTAAATCATTGTGCGGTATTGTCCCTCCAGTTGGACGCTTAGGTAAATCTTTTGTAACTTTAGTCCTCTGTTCTAAACCACAGTGGTTGATTTGACTTTGTTGCCCTTCATTTATGTGAACAGTTGGTGAAAAACCAGTTAACCAATGAAATCACTCCCTTTGTCTCTTCAAGAAATAACCATTGTCCAATTGTTCTTGAGAGCTTTTGTATTGTAACGCTAAATTGTTTTTAAACCCAAAACTTCAGCTTTAGAAAAAGCTCTCTTAAATAATGCCATGCAACCTTTCAGTAATATCGCACATGTTAATGATTTTATAGTTTATGATGCACTTGCTAAAAACAAAAACTTATTTAACAGTCTGCCAACTTTGGAGAAGTGGAACAAAAGATTGATGGCTCTTGATTGTGAAATGGAGCATGGCTTGCACAAGTGTATTTGTGAAGTGAACTGCAACAAATTTGCATTTACTTTGATAAATATTTAAAACAACATGTTTTCTTGACAAAAATAACTAAACTGATTGAGCCCCCCAAAAAAAAATAAAGAAAAAAGATCACGACATTTTTGCTTCATTTGCCACATTAAGCTTTGTATTGTGAACATAAATCCAAATTGTAGAGTATTCAAAACCTATTGATCTTGAATTTTTTCCTAATTTTAGTAAAAGGTGTGTATTATGTGTGGATTATACCTACAGGTAACATGTGGCTGCATTGACATTAAAATATATCACATCCAGTACATGTAGAATGTCAATTTAAGTATTTTGATTTCTCTAAGGTGTCTTTATTTGAGTGTTGGATTTTGTGTTGCTTGTGATTGACCAAAATCTCACCTTTATCAATGCTTTCACTTCCACAAGGAACCTGTAATCACATGTTAGTTCTCCCTTCAACCTTCAATATAAATACTTTGTTAAGCAGAATGTCAAGTTGAGATAAAGAAAAAAAAACATCAGTTAAGGGGATGTTTTCTGTTTAACATCAGTTTCTCTGAGTCAGAATTGTTAGTAATGTATGGCAGACAGTTTGGAGAAGTGATATCTTGATCTTTTGAATGACGGTTTGACCTTACTTTGACCTTAAAGCACACCAGTTGAGAAAATTCATATTAATCAATTGTAAGTCTTCATATTTGTAGAAATCTTTCCTAGGTATATTTTTAAAGAAAAAAGAAATGTCAAATGCCTTGTGCAGAAATGAAATTGGTGTATTGGAGTGCCAATATTTTACAGTGCACTAGATCTTTCCAATTCCAAACTTTCATTAAGTAGCATTTTATGATTTTAAATATCAATATAATTGATATGATTTACAGTTAACATTTTCCCCCGTCTTTCTGATATTGCCAATACTTGTATGTTAGCACTATATCAATAACAGAGAACGATATATTTGAAGTATTCATGTTCTTTAGAAACAGGTATGAAGCTTTAACTTTTCATTTGTAAATAGATTAGGATCTGACAAACAGTTTAATTCATTTGCAAAAATATGTTTTTGTTTTCAATTTTTTTTTTCATTGCATTATAGTTATGCAAAATGCTTTAAAGAAGCTGTGATATTGATGGTGTTTCTTGTTGCCAAAGAGACTGAGTTAAACAAAGAGGTTTTTTTTTAACCAGTTTCGCTTGAAGTATTATGTTTTTAGCAGACAACATCACTCAGTCATGTTTAATATGGGTTTCCCAGTGACAGCAAGTGTATATGTTGCTAGGTGACGTATACTCTACTGTAGAGATTTTGTTTATAGAAGCTTTGATCTGAAAATTTTGTTTGTGAATCATCTTTTTATTTAATAATGAACATGATTACACTTGAAAACCTGTCAGCAACTTTTTTCCTTAGTACTATAGATTATATTGATCATCAAAGTGAGAGACATACCGCGGCCACTTACCAACTGTTATAAATTTCCTAATTAATCTGTACTTTTCTCTCTAAAATGGCAATGCATGTTTCACTTAATGACACTCACTTCATGATGAACAAATTCATAGATTACTGCTTGGTGAAAAAATTTATAGATTATTACTCAATGACCTGTAACCAGGGTATTCCATATCTACAAATTATGCTCTTGTTCGTCTGTAGACAGAAAAGCTATATCTGTGTTTACCTGGTTGTGTAACCTCATTAAGGACTATTCAAGACTGTGATTTAAAACATTCTTTAAAAATGTTTTAAAATGAAATATCTTTCATTTAAACTTTGTGATCTAATTGACAAACTATTTTTGATTCTTTTCAAAGCTCCATTGTATGTCATTGTTCATGGTTAGTGAGTTTAGCTTGGAAGAATTTTGTGCAAATTTGTTTTTATATGTGCATGTATTTGTGCATGTTTGTTACTCTGGAATTTCAAAATATTGTACCAAGTTGAAAACCATTATCAGTGTTCTCCTTTTCAGACAATAAGCTGTAAAATTTACCCTCTGTAGTACCTCCTATTACTGCTTAAAACTGCTTGGAATTCTTAAAAATTCAATAGGTGAAAGGATTGCTTTAACAGTTTGAAAATTTCTTTAGCCTGCCTTGCTAGAAATAAGGCATACCACTGCATTATGTAATCGGGCAATATGCTATATCATGTAACTTGACTTTTGATAGAACATTACATAAGGAGATTGTTTATATGGATGTCTGTAAAGAAAATATAATTTCTCATGTAATTATCTTCTAAAGAATCACAAATTAGGATTTGCTAAGGACCCTAAGCTTTTGAATCTTGCATTAATTCCTTTGCAAAAGGTGATGTTATATATATGTAGTACTGATTTTTGAACTTACACTTCACAGTTTAATTTTGTTGAAAAAACACCCAACAAAAGTAAAGCATGTGTATTAAGATTTCTCTTTATCACTGGAATATTGATAGTAAAAAAATAATATTATTCTCCTCAAGTGTTGCAAAACTTAGAAAGTAGAATGTAATAGGCAATATTTACCCCATCTTTTTTTAAGTTATATTTTCCCATAGAAAGGACCATGTATTGAGTAACTAACAGCAAATTTTGCTGTTACAATGTGACTACAGGTGTAATTTCACATCCCAAATTGCAACATACACTTGACAGAAGGTGTGTAGAATTTTAAAATTCCACAACCTTGTAAAAAAAACTGTTATTAAGAAACATTTCTTTTTTACTCAAAAAAAAATTTTGTATTTTTGTCTTTCTTACTCTTTAGATTCATTAACCTTGAATGTGTGAGGCTGAACTCATGGAAGCCAGCTGTTAGTGTCAGTGTCTAAGGGATGACTGTTTCAGTCAGTTTAACATCTTGTGCTCCTCAAGCTAAAGAGTTGGAGCTGATGCAGGATGGAAAAACTCCATCTGGTGATGACTTCACTAAGGAAGTGCCTGATCTAAAAAATGGCCAAGTTAGGTGTGTCTTGCAGCAAACAGAGGATCAAAATTCATGTCTAGAAATGGAGGGAAGGAAAGATAACGGGTCCAGTGAGGAGATCAATTCTTCTGGTGTGCCTGCTGTGCCTGCTGTGCCTGCTGTGCCTGCTGTGCCTGCTGTGCCTGCTGTGCCTGCTGTGCCTACTGTTCCTGCTCTTCCTGCTGAAAATGGAAAAGCAGCTCACCGGGAGGAAACTCCTGAAAATAACCAGGAATGTGTTACTACTAATAACACAGTGAAGCAAGGAAGAGCTGTCAGTCGTGGACGAAGGAAGAGTGAGAATAAAGAGTACAATCCAAAGTCTCAAAATGGTGGGAGGAATCGGAGAAGGAAGATCTCCAAAAACAGGGATTACGAGAACAGCTCAAGTAATGGTGGTAATTCAGGAGCAGATGGCAATGGGGAAGATAACGGAAGTGATGATGATGATGACGATGATGATGCAGATGATGATGATGAGGATGATGATGAAGATGATGAGGATGAAGGAGACGATGATGAGGATGAAGGGGAGGAAGAAGAAAGTAAAAATGAGGATGATGATGATGACATTTCATTAAATGGAAATGATAAGAATGTAAAACAAATGAAAATCAAACAGGAACCACCAGATGATCAAGAGGTATTGTAAAAAGCATTTGTTATTCTAGTACAAATAAGAGAAATTATCAAAGTAAGTGAGCTGCAATCAAAGATATAATTCCTGAAACTTAGTGGCCTGAAAAAATATATACTTTACAGGATTTGAATTTAGACATTATTTGTACATTGTAACACTAAGTTAGGTGCAAGTTAAAATATTGTTTCTTTTCTTGTTTTGTTCTGTTTTTTTGGTTTATATTTCTTCTTCTTTATCATGCTTTTAAGGTATGTGTGTACATTTAATCATCACACTGTACCACTAATTTCCTATGTTAGTAAATCGGTTGAATAAAAACAATGCACTTATCCTGCAAAGGCTCTTGTTTGTGAGCCAACTTTTCCTCCACTTATTGGATAGTGTGTTGATTTATGCTCTCTGTTCATTGTTTTAGTAGACATTCAACTTGAAATATGCATGTCATTCTTACTGGTGTTTTTCTCCCCTTATCTCGTAAACCCCCAGAAATGATTAACATGTAACTTCTCCCTATAATATCCATACAACAACCAGGGAGGAGGTGATGAGAATACTCAAACTTATTGGGTAGAAGTTGTTACCTTGATCTGACACCAAATTCTTGTAACTAATTTTCAAGGAAATGTGTAGCAGTTAGAGGGAGAATTAACAATAAGACCTTGCAAGTTTAAAGGTTGAGAAACTGGGAAGGTTGATCCTCGTGCATGGACTTACTGATCAATGATAATTGATATTCTATTTTATGTTCACTGATTTTGAAGGCTCTTCCCAGTGGACTTCAAGGATTCATGGCAGGTTTAGATGGCAACATTCCATTGGCAGATCTGTTAGAAAAGCTTCCCAATTCCTTGTGTCAAGGTGATGAAAACAACACTACTCCTGCACCACCTGGTGCCCCTGTGACCCTTCATGGAATAGTCTGCCATGAAATTGGCGGTGAGTGTTGTTCAATATTGTTACTCTGAGTGTAATTCCTTTGTGAAGTGGACTACAAACACCACATTGTGTTTCTTAAGAAAATAAGGCATAGAGCTGGTCAATAATTCAAACTCAACCTTGTACTGCATATGGGGAATATCAGTTTTGTGACAAAGAACATTGAATTATGTCTGCAGGGCTATTGCCAAAATGAATCATTTTTGTCTGAATTTCAGGAGTACTGGTTGTAAACATCAAGTGGAGAGACAAGTTTTATTGTGGTTCCCTGATGGACTGTTCTCGTCATGCATGGGCTAGCCCAAGGTTTGCATTTTTAAACAATCCATGTGATTACTACCTCAAAGTACAGGGCATGAAATTAATTTTTTTTTCTGATAGCCACTTGGCTCCTAAATTCTTGAAAGTGGTAGCCAATGCAAATCTTTTTAATTCACTATATCTCTTGGTAAGGTTATGACAAACCATTCTAGTCGCCAATTTGGCGACTAATTTTTAGGATTTGGTTGCCAAAGTGAAAAATTTAGTCACATTGGCACCTGTATTAGGCGCAATTTCACACCCTAAAGTAGCCAAGTGGTGTGGTCAAGTGGCTACAATATCTAAAAGTCATGTTCATTGTAAATTTTAAAATCAAGTAAAGATGAACTTGCTGTTTTGTGATTTAATAAAGAGAAGTTAATGTACAATAAAACTTTGGAAACTAGATAAACAGAATAAGTGCAATTGTGGTTTTGAACTTCACGACAGTATTTCCCTTTCTTTAACATTTTTAGAATTGTAATTTACAATATGATATTGTCCTTTAGAAATGAAACAGAAATATTGTATGGGTCCCAAGAACTTACTCTTGTTCATGGTCTATAAATAAACTTTTTAAAAATGTTATTTGAACAGCAATTACCTGTAGACATGGACTTGACATGTCACTTATGTACATTTGTTTTGTTATCTGCACATCCACAGATTTCCTGCTGTAGAAGGAGGTGAAAATGAAATGAAAATGGGTGGGAAAGGTGGAAAGGGTAAAAGGAGACAGAAAGGCAGTTCTCTATCGTCATCAGCAGGAAGTGTGAATAAAGAAGGTAAATTATATCAGTTTTGAATTTGATACCATGGTAGGCATAAAGAATTGGTTGTCTCTTCAAAAGTGGAATAAAGAAAGTGGAGTAGCTTTCAATTGGTGACCTGTTTTGTCAAAGCATTACATCCACATCTTTTTTTTCTTTTTTTTTAATTTCTCTCCTTCCCCAAAGTGCTGTGCTTTTATCATTTATTTGTTTATTTGTTCATATATTTCATTCTTCATGTCTCAAATGTAAACTGTTCATTTGCAGTCACCCCACTGAAGCACAAACTTCGTGGTCGAAAGAGAGGTGTTTCAGGCTGTCCCCCACCAAAGTCCCAAGGGTTTAAGGGTCTTGGAAAAAGACGGTCAAAAAATATAGATGATGATGATGATGGCACATCACGGCCTGGAAAACGAAGCTGCACAATGAAAACGACAGTGTCTCCTCAGCCATCTCCAACATTGATTGAATGTCCTGAGCCAGGGTGTGACAAAAAGTACAAGCACATTAATGGTTTACGCTATCATCAGGCGCATGCTCACCTAGAGGAGGTGAGTACATTTACAGATAAATTAATATTATGTTTATACAAACCAGATAATTTTTCAACTATGGTAGTTTATGTTTGGTAGTGCCAACATGAACACATGTCCCAGATTCACAAGTTGATAGGATTTCATACAGTGTTAGGACTTTGAGTGATATAATGTTATATGTTACATGTATGTATCTGTCTTTTTCTTGGCCTCTACTCATACATGATATTTTCAATTATGGTATGCCTATTTTTTTTACGTTAGTCCAACCAATCGGATGATAGATCTGCTAGCACCAGTCCTTCTCCTGTAGAAGAGTTCAAAGAGCCTGATACAAAAACAAGCTTTAAGGGAAGAACATCTCGTGTCAGTGCCAGGGCACGGAGCGTGTCACCATCCCTAGCAGCTGCTATTGCTTCCATGAACGAGAAGAAGAACGAGTCCTCTAGAGGATCAGCTAGCAAGAAAAAGGAAATCATAGAAACATCTACTGATGCTACAGCCGTAAAGGAGACTAAGATGTCAAAATCACCTGTTCCTTCCACTGAAGAAGATGCTGTTGAGAAAGATTCTACTGTATCATTTGTGGAGAGTTCTGATAAATGTCAACAGGCTTGCGAACATGACATCAGATTAGAGAATGATATCCAAGAGAAAGTTGACCATGTCAAACAAGAAAATAGCTTCAAGCCCGTTCTAGAAGAGCAGAAAGGTATCATTAAGAATTTGAAGAAAGAGGAGACAATGATGTCTAAGGATGCTTCCAACTCTTCTGTTGGCTTGATCGCAACACCTATGTGTGCAGCAACCACAGATGAAATACAAGGGTGTGGAAAAGATACCATGAAATCCAATACTCCACAGGCTAGCCAAGAAGTATGGGAGACTGTGATCGACAGTGGGTTTAGTGTGGCAAATAGTGGCAGTAAATCCCTGAACCAGGAAGAGAGGATCAGCATAAGTCAAGTGGAAGACATGGAGAAAGTTCTTGTGGAAGGCACTTTTGATGGCAAACAGTCAAGCAACCAGCTTAGCATTCCTGGTGTGCAGCCAGTGGATCTGCGGCAGGCTGTTGACAAAGGAGTTGGGCTAATTAATCAGTTAGGCATTGAAGTTGAGGACATCAGTGAGACTGAAGAAGACATTGATCCTGGCCAAGGTATGTGGCTTGAACATTGTAAATGTAGGAAAACAGTGGCCTCCACTTAAAAGCTCACACAAATGCATTGCATAATAACTTAGTGTTTGTCTATGGAATTCTGTTTCAAGGAGCTTAAGGTTTCTTCTCTTTTTTGCAGTCTTCAGAGTGCTAGCCAATTTTTGTTTTATTTTGAAGTTAGCAGCAGGTTTCTTCCTGCCACAATATATTAAGACTGCCTCCCATTTAAGTATAAAGAGAAAAGTTCCTGAACCTTTTAAACAAGCCCAAGGGCCCTAGTCTAGAGAATTAAGTATACTTTTAGCAAAGTTCAGGAAAAATTAGCAGGCGGATAAAAATTGATGAGGCTTTGTGTCTATTTTCTTTAGATTCTGAATACACAAGCAAAGATGTACCAAATCTGTCCTGCTCTGCCTCAAATTCAGACCAAACAAATCCTGGACTGTCTTTTTCTACAAAAGATAACTTGTCAAACCAGGCCCAAAAGACAGAGGTAACCTCCAACAAGAGTTTTGTAGCTTCTGATGTGCCTAGAACAAAGCCTGAAACAAACTTGTACTTTAGCGTCAAGGCGGAGGACACTTCTGCTGAAGAGAAAAGGAACAAAAATTATAGTGGAAAGTTGTTATCTCAATTTGAAAGAAAGAGTGAGTTATGGCCCTCACAAACTGGTGTTTCTGAGAAGTTATCTGCACAGACTTATGTGCCTTTTCATCAAAATGCTGAAACAACTCAAACAGTGCTAGATGACAAAGGCGCGAAAACTTCTGCTGGAAATATCTCCATGGAAGCACTTGTTTCTAAGAGCATTTCCCGAAGTGCTGTTGAACCACCTCTCATGAACAGCGATGCTCCATCTGCACGATTTAAATTTTTTGAGTGCAGAAACTATGGTGATGAAAATTATGATAAGTGCATTAAGACATCTGATATAGATCAGAAGGCAAAAATTGACTCCAAAGGTACTCTGGCTCCAATTAGATATCCAGAACTTGTTCGGAATGGAGCTATGGTGGAAGTTGCTCAAAAACAGAATGATCCTGCATCAGGTGAGGGTTTTAGGACAGTCTTGAATGCAAAATCATCAGCTGAGGAAGAGAGCAAAAGTGAGGGAAAAGTAACCAAAAACTTGTCTGTTTCTACTGGTTATACCAGAACTCATAGTCCAAGTCCAGAAGCATTTAGTCGGAATGTGAACCTTCCTGACAAGGCTAGGGTTTCTACAAAAAGCCCCAGGCCTATTCCACCACTCACTGGGAATGTGGCAATGCATTTATCTTCATCAAGACCAGGATTTGATTCTAGTACACTCTCTCCTGGTACATCATTTCCAATCATTAGTACCAAAGTGCACTCTGCTGGGGGAGAAAGGAAAAATTCATCAAGCCCCTTTCAACCTGTCATAGTCAAGCATGAGTTTCAGCCTTCAGAGACATCAAAGGGAATTAAACAAGAATTCATTCCATCTGGCTGTCCACAATCTGACCCCAGCAACACATTCACTTCATCTTCAGTGGAACACAGCAAAACAATCACAGAAACCAAGGGAGGTTTTGGATTAAGTGAAATGGGTAGCAGCAGTAAAAGTCCCCTTCCCAGTCAGGGAATGGAGGATCAGGAGAAGTCTTACAAGACAGCAGCCAGAGCTCTGACTAGAACACATCCTACCTTAATCTCCAGGGGTGGTAGCTCACTTGGCCCATCCCTCCCTGTGGGTGTGGCTCATCCATACCCCAGAGCTTCAGATGGGGGTTCAGCTTCTAGTCATGGGAAAGCATCAGATTACAAGACATCTGCTGCTGCTTCTTCTGTTACATCAGGTACTTTACAGATAATTGTAAAGGTTCCCCCTTTCTTAATTCATTTGATTTACATGGTTTATACTGAAGATATGTTGTTAATTAGTTTACTAAGGGGAAAAAATATTTTGGATATGTATTGCACAGAGGGAGACAGAAAGTGAGAGCATTTCAGGGTGTGTAGCCCTAACACTCAATTGGAGGGCCACAAAGACCAATATTTGGTTCAAGATTGAGAATACAGCCCACTATTTTCTTGTTCCATTTGAGTTAAGAGGCATTTTACTTCTTGTTGGGAAGTATGCATGAGCATAAAATTTTGTAGCCCTGTTTGCATTATTGTATATTGCTCTCACATGGGGAATTCTTTAATGTACCTGTATTTCAAGAACTTTGCAGGGATGGTTATGCCACTGAAATGTTCGTCATTTAGACCTTTGATCAGAATCACTGGTGATTGAAGAGACTTTCACTTGCCACATGCAGTCTTTGACTATCTATTTTTCATGTTTACAGTCACCTATACAAGTACTTCTCCCAGATCTCAATCTAGTCCACGCGATGTACCATCCGAGCTGCCACAACCAGAAAACAAAGCTAAACAACTTCAAACATTGCAAGTCCCTATTCCTATTGGAGAAGTGTCACCAGTGGCAATGAAGAGAAGTCCAGGACCTGCCATCCATTCTGGACTCCCTCAGACTGTCCTCCCAATCATTGGCCCAGGAATAAAAACACAGGGTTCCACCTCATCCCACCCCAGCATTCGACCAGGTTTGATTTCCTTACTCCGCCATATTAATTTCAGTCTGTTTGCAGTTTTAACTCCTTCACTCCTAAGATCTCATCAGTGATTCTCCTTACTGTCTGTCGAATAATTCTTATGGTGTTAGTTTGGAGAATTTGGTATTGAATCTATGAATAATCTCCTAACATGTGTTTTTCTTTATTCTCATTCCTTATCTGCTTGGGTATTACTTTTAACTACATCCAGTAGTGGGGCCCTGATTTGGGTAAGCATGGAGCTGCCTCTGAGCCACTGTTGCTGCCAGGAGTGCTCTGAGCCAGAGCACAAGTTCCTGCTGTGGATCCCAATTATGGGTGAATTAATATCAGCTCCACAGCAGGGAGGCAGACCTCATTAGTATAGGTCAACAAACCACCTAAGGGAGTAAACCCTGACATATAATCTAGGAGTAGAGCCCCTTTGAGGTAGTTAGTTGTGCTTTAAGTCAACTAGCCGGCAAACTTCTGTAGTGAAGCTAGTGCCAAACATACTGCTCTGCTTTCCTTTTGACCACATCGGTAAGGCTGAGAGGGGGATCCTGACATCTTGAGCAGCCCAGGATTTCCATTTCCATTTCAGGAGATGGATGGTTACCAATGTAGTCCTGTCTGCTTGACATCGTTTAGTTATTTTAAGGAGAATTTCATTCTTGGTCACTTACTGGAGTTAAAGGGTTCAATCAAACTACTAACACTTACTGTAAAAATTCTCTTGTATCATGGTAGGAGTGAAGGCTTCAGGAGTGAATGAGCCAATGAAAAATGAAAGAAAAACTGAAGCTGTGCTTAGAGAGCCATCACCTTATTCAGTGTCCAAGTCACCCATACCACGTTCCCTAAGTACTACCAAGCCCTCTCTAGAAGGGAAAAGCCCACAACAGTTAGCTTCTGGTGCTGGTTCACACCTTAAAATGATGAGGGCGCCTGATGACAGTAGTCAGGAGGACTCAGAGATTGTAATTGTGAAAGAAGACCCTGTTGCATTTGGTTCTTCGAAAGACAAGATGCTTTTGACTGAAAAGGAGAGGGGAAGATGTGATATCAGGGACTCCGCTACAGAGTTAAATTTCAGATCTCAAGAACACTTATCAGCTGAACAGTTGAGAAAGTATCAGTATCATCAGCAAATGTTGCACTTTTATTTGGCATATAACTCAGCAGCTCAAGCCCAGCTGCTCTCAAACATGCCACCAGAACAGCAGATGCTCTATCAACAGATGTTGTTTGAGCAGGAGAAACAGGTGAGTTTTATTGGCAAACTATCTTTTTTGTTGAGCCAAATTCAGTGTTGTACATGTAGGTTGATGTGTACAATAATAAACTTTGCTATTTTCATATAGGGAATGCGCAGCAGC